TCGGTAGCCCCACTGCAAGGGTTAAGAATGACAAAATGATCGGTAGCCCCACTGCAAGGGTTAAGAATAACAAAATGATCGGTAGTCCCACTGCAAGGGTTAAGAATAACAAAATGATCGGTAGCCCCACTGCAAGGGTTAAGAATGACAAAATGAGCGGTAGCGGTTAAATCTTTTACATTTTTTTTTTCCCCTGGAGTTCTTCTTTTAAGTCTTTCTATTAGGACAGACAGATTTTGCTGTTACTGAAACTGAGAGAAGAACCGAAGGCCAGCTAAAAAAATATATATATTTCTTACCTTTTCGATATGTTAGATATGTTGTGTGACTGGGAACACATAACACACATATAGTGGGGTTCTCTCAATTTAGATTGCAAACGTGTAAATACATTTTCATTTTGAATAGCATCCCTATGCACCTCGGCAGCACAACTAATCCAAGAGTTGAACTATCTGTGCGCTGCATTGAAATAGAATGGTTCATGTCTATTAAAATATGTGTGGCAGTGCTTTGGCAGCATATTCAACTCAAGACAAGTTTAAGCGGAAGTAAAAGTCTATTTTTTTAAAAGTGGGGAAAGGCAGGATTGTTATGACAGCAGAGACAGAGTAATCATCATCTCTTGTTCTAGTGACATCTCTGAAACTTCATTTCTTATCACTTTTCTTTCTTGGTGACAGTGGACCCAAGGACAAATGGCAATAAAACGTGACATGGGTTCTAATCCTTCTCTACTCTATTTAAAACTGAAAATGAAAAAGATTTGGCTATAAATCCCCTTTAACACAACACAAAGGGCTACAGGAACATTGCATTATGCCTGCATATGTATAGGGCGATATGCCTGTGGTTTCGGAAAAGGAGCACCGATATGTAACGCTACAGTTGGAAAACAATCATACACCCAGTTTGGTTGCCATATTGCTGGAGGCTTTATGTTACTGTCTAGGTGGCCATGTAAATAATTGTTTTGGCAATGTGCTAACATTCTCCTGCATGTTTTTAAAGCCCATTTGGGGCCATAGAACATGGCTCATGAAAGCGAGCTATGTGATTCTGATTATGCTCCAACCATGGTCGTACATTGTCCCTCCTTTTGTAACAAAGCTTTACTAAAAACACTGTTTACACTGAAGTATAAAATAAAACCGAATGTAAGCTACAAAGGCAATGACCTACTTAAACAAACCATACTATACCGAATGTGCTGTTCAAGGAAAAGGTACGCATTGCTTATCATAGTTATTAATCGGAAGAAAATCTGCTGAAAAGACGTTTAACAGCTTATCAGCTCATCACGAAAAACATGTCAGAGGTTTAATTGGATTTTTCTGGCCTGTTCTCTGTTTGATGTCACTGTAAAGGCAGCTGTTTTAGGAAACCCCCTTGTAGTGAAAGAATGTTAATATTCTCAGTGGTAGAAGATAAATTGTGCTTCTATTTTTTCCTTCTTTGGACATAAATCTAACGTTAGTATTGTATAGATGGTTTTGGTGTCAAGTGACCTGCTGCCTGTAGACCTCTCCTGAAAAATGTACAGAATGGTTTCTTTGGTGTACAGTCATGTGGTGTAGGGCTGCAGCTAACGATTATTTTCATAATCGATTAGTTGGCCGATTATTAAGTTCGATTAATCGGTTAATCGGATAATAAATTAAAAAAAAGGCTCCAGTGATGGACTACTAGTTTGTGGTGAGATTGTAGTCCATCACGGGAGCAAGCTTGGCGCGGTAGAAGTAAAAAAAAAAGAGTGTGGTGTGTAATATAGTACATAATACAGCGGCGCAGTGCAGAATACCAGCAGATATAGAGGAATGTAGCAATACTACATTATACTACATATGTACTATTGCTGGGATTTGTAGTCCTCTGTAGCTGGCGTTACTCTGCATTGCGCTGTATATAATGTATTATTGCTGGGATTTGTAGTCCTCTATAGCTGGTGGTATTCTCCATTGCGCTGTATAATGATTATACTGCGCAATGCAGATTACCACTGACCAGTTATAGAGGAACTACAAATCCCAGCAATAATACATTATACAGCGCAATGGAGAATACCACCAGCTATAGGAGGAACAACAAGTCCCAGTAATAGTACATTATACAGGGTGTTTAATGTATTATTGCTGGGATTTGTTGTTCCTCTATAGCTGCTGGTGTTCTACAGTGTGCCGCTTTTTTTTTTTAAACAGGAAACATTAAAACAGGTCCCCCTTACCTGTTTCTGAACCCTTGTAAGTCACCGCGGCG